ATTTATGACTGAGCAGATAAAGCATGCAAGAGCTACCAAAATGGTAAGCACTCAGTTAATAGATGATTATCACTAATAGATTATCACATCATAAGGTGCACTGCTTTATCCTATGGATTAAACCTTTTAGAACAGCTATTTTACTTTCCTATACCTGTCCATCCCATCAAACAAGTAGCACAGTCTGAACACCAGGACTTGAAATCCCAACCCAAGACTGCAGTAGCTTCAGCTAAAAAGCATTGTTTTTATTACGTATCTATTTTTTCCTCAATTGATTCATCACATTTCATATGTACATTATGAAAGGCAAAAGGATAAAGGGAGAAGTCTGGAGGGCATAAGGAAATCTCACTTTTGCCTCTGCTCCAGTGATTATTGTTAGGATATTAGGACGTTCTGCCCTGAAGGCTATCACATGTAGTGGTTACTTCTCTGTACAAGACTATAATTATACCTTTACTCTCTTTAAAAACAGCACAAGATTTTTTCTTCCAGGAAGTGACTATCAGCCTGAAGAATCTACTGTTGAGCATATGACAGAGATGGGATAGAGACGGTCAGTAGCTGCACAGATACTCACTAGGCATACAACAAAATAGTTGAGTATGGGAACAATCTCATTGCCCCACCAATTACATCTCATGCTCACTATACTATCCAGTTTGTAGCAGCTACATAACAGAAAACAAACAAAGCCCCAAATACCCCAAACCCTTTATATCCTCATAGAGAATTATAAAATAACCCATCTCAAAAAACCTTTGATGTTCTTGTCTGTGTTCTCAGTACATACTATTTAATGTTCATGATCTGTAAATGAACAATCCATTTCAAAATTGAACTCTTGCTATCAATTCTATTTTACAGTTTATCTAGAAAATAAATCAAATGCCAACCCCCAAGCAGTAAGTCACTGACTCTTAAGGAGAATGAAGACCTGCTAATACTTGCCTTTGCCAGTAATTTGGCATTTGGCTACACAGCAATACAAGTTTAGACAGTTAAAGGCAACATGGGTAAAGCAGTGATACCTGGAGTTTACGATCACAGATACAAAAGCAACTTTGTGACACGTGACCTTTTCTGTAAAACGGCAAAGAGCCCTTAGAAATTTTTGAAATGAGAAATGAAAAGGCTCTAAAGAGGGTGCACACACACAAACGCACACGTAGTTTTACAAATTCTTTTTGTTGTTGTTGTTAATCTTTAAGCTACAGCACAATAAGATGTTCCTTAGTGTAATTTATATAAAAACATTAGAACAAGAACAATCTTCAGCTTGTTGGCTTCCCTCTACTGGTGACCAATGGGGGACACGTAGAAAGGAAAACAATAGTTGTGTAAGTACAACTTCCCGCTGAGCAGTTACCTTGATATTTACTTTGCCAAAAGATGAATATCTCTGGTGAATTTTGTCTATAACCGTGTCATTTTGACCTTGGTGCATACTCTTGGCATTGTCATTATGCTGTTACAACACATATTTTAGCTACACAAAATGTGATAAGTTATCCCCTTTTGTTTCATCTAAAATTGTCAACTACAGAAACCTCAATAGAGTGGAGAGAAACCCTAACAACTGCCCCCAACCTGCTTTTTTTCATAAGTATACTTCATAGACACCTCTCTCTTCCGTCAAGTCTTTCCTGAGGGAAAAGTTCTAGTCCTTTAACCATGCTAGTTAACATTCTTCCTTTCCTTAGTATAATATGATCTTTTGCATGTGGAAGACACAGGTAAAACACCCAAAGTGCATGTCGTAATAAATCTGGCTTGGACTTACGCAGCAGTATATTGATGTCCTTTTATTCTCAATTAATTGTCAATTCTAACATTATTTTCTTTTTAAGGCTGGGTATTGAGCTGCGATTTTCTTAGAACTGTATCACACCAAGATACTTTCATAAATAGGAGTAGCTAATTTAGAGTCTGAACAAATACATAAACACTTTTAAATCCTATAGATTAGGGAAAAACAATGCAACAGGGAGATCAGTTTGAAGCTGGCGTATCTATGAAAACTTCTAATAGCATTTTCAAGCCTTTTAGGAAGTATGCAGAATACAACCTATCTTGTAAAGAAGGACAACAGAAAAGTCCCTCTTGCTGACTTAGAGGAATAATTATAGCATAATAAAGATCAATTCCAATTTGTGTCTGTATCAACTGACATGAAAAAAAAAAGACAGACAAAAACCCTCAAACCCATGTCTTGCCTAAAAGCCATATCTGCTGTTTGCATTTCAGCTGGTGACCTGAAATGGCTTATGAATCAGAGGCCTCTGAAGACGCAGTACAACACAGCATAAGCCAAGTTTGTGCCAGGTTAGAGTTAACATTTTGTCTTGTTTCTTTGAGGATGGTAATCCCTCTCCAAGCCACCAGTTTTCATCAGCTGAGGCTCTGTATATCTTGAAGTTCAGTATCCTAACATCAAAAATTCTCACAGCTCTATCATCTGAGGTGCCAAGCAGCCTCCAAAATTTGAGCTGTTAAGTCAGCTGGACCATACGAGACCTATGTTTTGGAAACAACGATTTCTGCTAAATAGTAACATACAAAATATTCATTTTTTTAAAAAAAGTGTCAATACAACAATTCGCTTGCATCTACTGAGGATTTTATGTATTACCTAGCACTTAAATTGCATTAAATCCTACCACAAAACATACTTGTCTTTTTAACCTTTTGTCTCCTCAGCCTCAGATCACAAGGTAGCCCTTAGCACGCTGCCACCGTGTTTCCACACAGGCCTCTCTTAAACGGGAAGAAGGTGGAATCGGAGAAGAGCGAGGAACTGGCCGTTTTTACCCCCCTTAACCATAACACCGAGTAGGGGAACCTCTTCTCTCCCCTCCCC